CCTGAGGGAAGAAACTGTTTCTGTGTCTGGTCGTTCTGGTGCTCAGGGCTCTGTAGCGTTGACCAGATGGCAACAGTTCAAAGAGTGAGTGTGCTGGATGTGAGGGGTCCAGAGTGATTTTGCCAGCCCTTTTGCCCACTCTGGATGAGTACAGTTCTTGGAGAGAAGGGAGGGTTGTACCAATGATTCGCTCAGCAGTCCGGACTACCCTCTGTAGTCTTCTGAGGTCAGATTTGGTAGCTGAGCTGAACCAGACAGTTATAGAAGTAACTGATATATGAAGGCCTGGTCGAGCACTGATGAGCTGTCGATAGGGAAAAGTGTCCCGACCACAAGGCCAATTACTCACGGGACACCCGCAATGGCATGGAAGTCTTGCCTCCATCACTTTGTGCCTGGCGAAAGGCATATAAGCTATATAAACGGTGGCATGACGGAGCAGGATGTTTGTGACTGAGTGAACACACCGCCACACCGATGTCTTACTCAGCCCATATCCATATCCATGCCCAACAACCTCCAGAAAACTCCCCACAGCATAAAAACGGAGAGCCGCCAGCAGCTGAATTTCGGGGCTTAAGGGGTAGCTCCGTTGAGTTCTCGACAAAGTTGGGCCAACAAGATGTAAAAGCTGCTGAATTTGCTCCCGTGGCAGGCGACATTTTTGTAGAATTGTATCTTTTGACATGGTAGCTATTCTGACACCATTATGAAATAGTGCACAGACACTAATTGGCTCCGCTGACGCAGCCGTCTTTGATTTAGAAGACGTAAATTATGTGATATTAGTTTGAACGTCTCCCGCTGCATTGTAAGCCACGCGCACGAACCCCCCCCCATAAATTATTTTTTAAAAAGTGGGCTCCCCCAAAATCCACGGTATAGTTCGAACACTGTCTACAACAATAAAAGAATCAAAACCTCAGAAGACATTGAGCAAATAAATAACAATAGGGTAAAAAAAGACAAAATATTTCCATGTCTTCCACCTTTATGTACAGAAATCACACTTTCTCCGGTTCTCTCACAGACACACACACTCTCGCACACACGCAGACAGAAACTTGTCGTCAACACCGCCCCGCGAATTTAATAAAATAGTTTCGCAGCTGAAAAGCTACATGATATTTCTCAGTAGGGAGGTTCTTGAAGCAGTTTAACTTAAAGATTCACCATTAGTAGACGCTGCTGCTGAACTCTTCTGAGAGACGCACAGACGCAGGTATTCACATGCGCTTAATATCTCTCTCTCATAACTGCATTAGCCTGCATATCAATGGCTCAAGCCTTTATTAGCCTGGTTAGAATGACGTTTTGGAATTTGCAATGGAAGGTTTGTGGAGGTGCGTAAAAAACGTTCAACACATTTCAGGACGGAAACATGTCAAATGTCTTGAAACAAATCATCTGAACAATGTCTTGATGTGTGGCTGTGACTCCTACTGGCCGTTAAAATTATGAGCAATAACTCCTGAAGTGCTACGCCGCACCTATTAATGGAATGGTCTTTCAGAGTTCTCAAACAAATTAAGAGCTACATTCAATTTTTCTTGACTGAATGCAAGCGATTACTGTGATAGAAAACACTAACATTTCCACTGATTAAGAAATTGTTTGCTTGGGTGGTAATATTAGGCCTTTTATATTAATAGGGAAGGAGGCCCCAAAAATTAGTTTTGCCTATATCATGAAAAGAGGTCAATCTGACCCTGTATATTATAATGGAAAAACTAACCTCCATCAGTATAATAACGGTTTTATTCTTTGCATAAAAACTCTTCAATTAGTTGAACACTAATTGAACACTGGGTGCATTACAACTTTAGAATTGTAATATTTGGTTCTGCACTTTCTTGCCACAGAATTACAATCGTATCGACTGAAATGTAAAGCAGCTTTTTGCACAGTGGTGGCCACTACCGGAGTGGACTGTGATAAGGTATAGCTAAGAGTGGTCCAGACTAACCTTACGAACGAATGACTTACAGAAAGTATACTTAACTAAGAATGTTTCGGGAAACACGTATTAACATAAAAGGTACAACTTAAGGTATAACTTACAAACGACATAGCGTTAAGAGTTTCGGGAAACGCAGCCCAGGTCTCAGGGAGAGGAACTTACACAAAGTACTGATGCCAGAAAGCAGTTATGCGAGAAAACAGCCAAATGATACCAAAAACACCAACTCTTCAATCAAGCAATTTTCTTTTTATTTGAGGGAAGGGTGGGAGAGAAAATCTTCTTTCTAAACTGTTTGAGCAAACAGGGAAAACATGCCATATGAATAAAACACTGAACTAAAAAAAAGAAAATCTCCGGTAGGTGTTATGCAAAAGTCCCATGACCGTTTGTGACCACATTCCTGACCATTTCCCTGACCTTGATCGCTTCACTGACCATCACCTCTTCCCTGACCATGAGCGCTTCCCTGACCGCTTCCCTGACCTTGAACGCTTC